CCGGCGGTGGCCCCGTCCCCGACGGCGTCTGGCCCGCGCGCGGTCCGAGGTCTCCCCGCCGGGTCCTGTCTCGGCCGGCGGCTGTCCCGGAGCGTGCCGCGGCCACAGCCCTCTGGGCGCCGGCTCAGGCTTCCCTCGTGAGGCAGCCGCCTTCGTCCTCGTTTTCTTCGTAGGTTTGGCGCAGTTTTAGTTCTTAAAAATGTAGGTCCCTGACACTTGATTTCGGGCCGGTTTCTTCCCTAGATCTTTGGCCCGTTTCTCGGCCTTTTCTGCCCCACTGTGAACCGACTCCCGCCTTCTCCTCTCCCCACTCGTCTCTTCCTGAGGCTGGGGAGGGCTTGCAACTTGGTGTCTCTTTGAAGTTGTGAGAGGGCCGTTCGGCTTCTTTACGGTTTGTAAGCGGAAGCGCGGTGACAGCGATTTCTGTGGAGTTTTGAGACTTTTTTCTTGAGAACGATTCAAAGAAGTTGTCGAATGCCCTGGCTTTAGGCACTCCTCAGTCCATGTCCTCGCCCTGCTTACTGTTTTCGTTTTTGGGTTGCATGACGTAGACTCTCTAGCCACACGGTATCTCAGCAGTGCTCAACTATGGACGTGTTGTGAGATGCACATGCCACCGTGTCTGGCACACAACATTCGTGTCCCTTTTTATTGCAAACACTTGTCATGGTCACAAAATAGCTAGGTGTTGTCACGGGAAAGGGCTTTACGGTTTTGACAGCCTACAGCTGGGCGCTCAGAAAAGGTGTGGGTACAAATAATAATCAAAATGCACAGCTTTACGAATACTAAGACAACTTCTAGAAGTAGTATTTTTGAGGGGCCCTTTAAAATGTCCTACGTATTCCCAGTGTTAGCAGGAGTAATGCCTTTCAGGAACATGACCTCACTGGGCTGGACACTTAATTGACCGGCCCTGTGCATGCTGCAATTATGACACAAGAGAGCAGAGCTACTGAGGGAGGTAGGATTCTAATTCCTTGACATTCCATACATTCTGAGGTAACCTTGATTACCTGAGAAAGAGACGCTAAGTCTTCCAGTATTTGAGCTGTCTCACTTCATTCTATAAAAGGAAGAGCGGCATTACAAAACTGAAATGCCTTCAGGTGGCAAGCACTGTCTTGCAGACTTTATGAGGAGTGTTTTAACCAGAAAAAACTGACAGTGCACTCTATAAAGTGGTGGGGTACTAATTCCTCTAGCGGTGTTCCTTTCAGCTTTTAATCTCTAATATAAAATTAGTTTGCTTGAAAGGTTTTGTTTCATATTTTTGAGTTAGTTTTTGCTTAGATATAAAGGAATAAATCCTGAAGTGGCTAAACAATGCAGTTAAGACATTTAATGTAACAAACAGCCTGAAACTGAAAAATACAATTAGTACATTCTCTTTACCTTTTTCATTACAGAGTTTAATGCACTGGTTAAGAACATGAGATTTGGAGTCCTTCAGTCTAGGATTGAAATCTTAGTTTTTACAGATTCTGTGAACTTGAGTTCATTATCAAACTCCTAATAATAGGGTTTTGAGAAAATTAAACACATCTATGGCTTTACGGTTGTGTTTAGCTTAGGAGAAGCATTCAGTGTAATTTACTATGTAACTCAACATATGTTGTTGTTGGCAGTGTAACCAAAAAGCAAAAATAAAGTCTGCATAATTGTTAAAATACACCCCTTCTCTGGCAAAGTAACCAAGGAATTGTTAACGTTTCACATAAAAATAAATCCTCCTTTGTATTATAAACAGTCCTTATTGGAGGCACCTACATTTTTGCCAAAGGATTATTATTTTAACTTGGTTGAATGTGTTTATTACTGACAATTTTTTTCTGGTAAGATAAAAAAACTTCACTTTCTCCAACTGTTAACACTGCTTGCATATCTGATAATTGTCCATGCTGATATATAATGGCCTTTACTAAAGTGGAAAAGGTTCAAAGACTTAACTGTTTAAACACAAACCTTGTAGGTATTGCTCTTATTTTATCAGCTACAGAAAGCTTCCTTTTCATGTGATGACTGTTCAAAGAGAAATTTTAAAATTCCAATATTGATTCCAGAGTAATGACAGGACACACTGTTATTATTTTTAAGAAATGTCATATTCTTTCATGTCCTGGCAGAATCCATGGCAACCTAAGTGTGTATAAATATATGACATAAAGCTTGCTTTTACATTTCAAAGTTTGACTTGTTACTCCTAAGGCTTGTTACCTTAAGTCAGTATTGTGCCATTTTAAACAACATTAATGATTTCATTGCTGACAAATAAGACACATGACCTTGGGTTCTACCACTTTGTTCATGTTGGGTTTTCTTGGGTTTATTGATAATAAAAAAACAGAAAGATGTTCTTGTAACTTTAACGTTACATTAATTTTGAATCAGATAGTTTCCCTTGCAGGTGTTTTGCCTATCTCGTCCTCAACTTTAACATTTTAAAATATATTCGTAAATTTTACTTATTAAAAAGTGTAAGCCAAAGGACATCTTTTTGTTTTTTATATTATGCAGTCATAGTTTTGCATTACAAACTCGTAGTTCCCCTATAGGAGAAAAATTTTAAATGTGAGTTCCTTGCCAGAGTTAATTATACAAGTGCTTTCAAGTGTGTTCCGTTGATTCTCACCATTTGTTGTTTGGCTTGTTTGGAAAAAGCTATTTTTCACATTAGAAATCAAGTCAAAAATTGAGTCTTCTGAAAGAGTGCAGAGCTGAGACTCTTGACAGTCATTCCTTTTACTGCAGGATGTTTTACAAAGTATAATTGGTAGTCTGTTTTGTGACTCATGTTGTTTCCCATAGTTTTTACTAGAGGGTAGGTTAATTAGATCCAAATTCTACCAACCTTCCCTGTCAGATTATCCCCTCCCCACTTGGTCTGCCCCATCTCTTTCTGTTCTGCAGTTAGGGGTAATGGGACAAGAAAGTCTTTTTAAGATGGAAGGCACTTTAGGATATCGGGTTTTGGGAACTGTGTGCTGTTAACCTAGATTGATACCTGTGGGTAATGGCTTCAGGTTGAAACCTTACAATTATTTAAGTATGTGCTATAAATTATAATGTCTTTAGAAACAAACTTGCTAAATAATACTGTCTTTGTAGAATTTGCCTTGTTTTTGGTTAGATGTTATTTAAGATTTCTTGTCAGTTACTTTTTTTTTGTTTTGTTTTGTTTGTTAGTTTGAGGGGTTTTTTTTTTTTGTTGTTGTTGTTTTATTTTTTATTTTTTTGCAGTAACAGGGATTGAACTCAGTACCCTGCACTTGCCAGGCAATCACTTAATTCTACTGAGCTATCTCCCCAGCTTCCACTTACTGGTTTGAAGAAGCATATTTATAGAGTTGAAAGTAATCCGATATTTCTGGGAAGATAAAAGAAAATCTTAATTTAAAATACACAAATTTAAACATTTAATGAATTTCAAGCCGGGCATGGTGGTGAATGCCTATATTCCCAGCACTTGGGAGGCTTACCCAGGAGGATTAGCAGGATTTCAAGACTAACCTGTCTAAAAAAAAAAGCTGTGAATAAAAAATTGTTTAAAACCTGGTTACTGATTTACCTCTTCAGATCAATTAAAAGGAATTACAGTACATTTATTAAGAGATTTTATACTGCATGTTGTGTTTGTTAGATAAAGGGAAGAGTGAGGGAGGGCTATGGCATAGTGGTAGAGCACTTGCCCAGTATGTGGTAGGCCATGGATTTGGTCCTCAGCACTGAGGGGAAAAGTCTCTTCTAGAACTCTCCTGGTGTGTATGTGGGGGTGAGGGAGTAGTGTTTTTTTTCTTCCTTTTTTTTTTGTACAAATATCATTGGCTATACTATGGATTTGAAAGTGCTCCAAACAATAAAATAGTTACCAATTACTGATGATTTGCTACATACTATATACACTTTAGAGAAATAATTTTGTTCAGTTTTTACTATCATTATTGCCATCATTTTGCAGATGAATCCAAGGCCCAGTAAGTTCAATTAAATTGCTCACAATCACAGTTACTAGGCAGACGTTAAAGCTTAAGTTTGTTATTGACTTTTTTTAAAATTTATTTTACAAGGTACAAAAAGTTATAGTAAGTTATGGTTAGTTTATTATTGGAAAAATAAGTGTTTTTACAAGTTTAGTGTGGCCTAAGTATTAAGGGTGTATGGCGTCTAGAGTTCTGTGCCATGATGTCCAGAACTTGGCATTCACTCACCACTCAGACTCCCAAGCAGCTTCTATCCTGCATTCTCTGTATACCATAAGTGTCCTAGACAGATGTATACCCTTTTTTAAAGGTATTTTTCTGTAAATTTTCTTATTATTTCAGTTACCTACAGTATTCAGTATCGTAACATGGTGTCCTAGATGTGGTAGGCTCTACTATATAACCAACTGGTGCAAATAGGCCCAGCCATCTAGGTTTGTGTAAGTATACTCTCTAAGGTATCTATACCATGGTGAAATTGCCTGAGGGTTCATTTCTCTAAACATGTCCCTATCACTGATACACTGTTTTAGACTTTAGAAGTTATTCCTAATGTGACAGGTCCAGCACTGGCCTCTGAATAGGCAAGATGACACTCCCTGGAAGATTTTGTGGAGGAAATGTTGGAGCAGAGCCTTAAAGAGTTGAAGGAATCTTGGTAGAGTTGATTGTGAGACAGCTGCCATTGATAGCACACCAAAGAAGGCACCATGGTAGGAAAGTCCAGTGAAGAGAGGATGGCAAGTAGTTCAATATATTAAACGATATAAGGTTAAATTTTAAAAGGAATTATTTAACGAAACAACTGCTTATGTACTGGGTGTGCCATCTGCCATATTTGCATACCTGCCATGTGCAGGTATAGTACTCTGGAGCTCTGTTCTAAATCCTAGCACATCATCTTCCCCTAAAGCTCTGTTACTGTTATCATCTCTGTCATTTGATGATGCACATTTATAAGCTGTCTGTATTAAAAATCAAGAAGTCATTCTGAATTTCCAGCTTCCCTTTCACCACTCATTTCTACCTACAACACAGTCAGGGAGTGCTAATATATCTCGATCTTGAATGTCTTGAATATGCTGCCCCTTTAGGCCTGGTAGAGATATTCTCCTAATGATTTCTGTGGAGTGAAATATTTCTGTGAACAAAAGAACTTTGATCTGAATATAAATACTGTTACATAGATCATTACCAAATTGAACAGCTACAGGGCTATGCCTCAGGCTTTGTCACTCAACATTTTATTACTAGTGGTCACAAAAACACAGAGGGAATGAAAATCATATTTGTGGTTAGCAGTTACTGGGAAGGAAGAATTAGTACTCAAAAATAAGCTATTATGGTGAACCATAATCTCAAAATTAGAACTTAATAGAACAAGTTAAAGCCTTGCATTTAGTTTTTTAGAAAAGATTTTTAAAATACAGCTCAGAGGTACTGTCAGGAAAAAAATTCAGAGGGGAAACAGTGTAGGTAATTGATATGTGTGAGCCAAATAGGAAATAGGAAAAGCCTGTCAATTTTTTAGCAAGCAATGTTAGGTTATATTGTGCTAAGAGACACAAACTAATAATCCTATAATGCTTTGATCATATTGCACCTGCAGTAATTTTTTTAGATATTGTTTGGCATATTTTCTAATAAGCCATAACAGTGAGGAGGTCAGAATATCCTATGGACATGAGAAATGATGGCAGATTTGTATGAAAAGAGGCAGTGGCTGTTGGTAGACTGTTCTCTATATGTGATAACTGATAGATGATCAAGTGGAAGCAAGAACTGAGACTCCTTCTAGCCCTTCAGTTGAAGTCAGGGTTTGGCTTATGATGAAAACTTCATTAAATAATATGTGCCTAGAAGTGGAATAAGTAACTGTACCTCATAGTTTGACAGACGACATTGGCACTTGGTATTAGGTTAAACATCATGATTTTTAAGTTGCCTGCCAACCTAAAGATGTAGTGGATATACACATGTGAAACTCTTGCCATTATTTCCAAAACAGCACACTGTTACAGCTATTTATTTATGCATAACATTTACATTGTATTAGGTATTAGAAGTAATCTGGAGGTGATCTTATATAGTATATGGGAATACTATATACCATTCAGTATGAGACACTTGAGTACCTTCAGATTTTGGTACCTAGGGAGTCCTGGAAGCATCCTTCATGTATATTGAGGGATACATTTTAATTCTCACAACCCTGATGTAGATGTTATTCCTATTCCCTTGTACAGATAAGAAAAAATGAAGTTAAAGAGAGGCTAAATAAATTGTCCAAAGCTATATGTCATATCTCACTTGTGGGATTCAGGCCCAAGTCTAATTCCATAAATCATATGCTTCATCAGTTTTATATTGGTTCCTCAATTTGACTTGCCTATTACATTAGTGACAATCTGTAATGTGTCAAAAATATTCTTGTTTTATCTATTTTTATAAGAAAATGCACATTTCTAGCTGATGTTATCATGAGACTGACAGCTGAGTGAAACCCTTACTTTTGTCATATGGAAAAGCGATAGTTTTCTTAAAGTCAACTGGTGACAGTGAAATTCATCATACTAGGGAATCCAGTGACCAATTTTTGTTTTTTAAAAAATGAAATGCTATTTTAAAAGATTTAAATCTTATTATAAATGTACAAAATTAAGTTATTTTAATGAAACTGCAGAAAATACCAGCTTTAATATTTGACTGTGGTCTTAGTCCATTGTGTGCTGCGTAACAGAATGCCACAAGACTAATTAGAAATGATCACAATGCCACAAGACTAATTAGAAATGATCAGCATTTTTTAGCTCATAATTGTGGGGGTTAGGAAGTCCAAGATTAAGGTCCCATGCCTGGCAAATTCCATTTTGCTGGGCCATACCATGGAGAAAGAACAAGAACTGGAGCTGGAGGGGACATTGTCTCGCCTTCATCCCTTTATCAGGAACTTGCTCCCTCAGGATCTGATCACCCCCAAGGGCTCAGCTCTCAGCTCTTTTGTTTCTAGTGCCTGAATTTAGGAGGACACCTTTAAACCATAGTATTGGCATATTGAGAAAAATGAGTTTTATAATTTTACAAGTTACATTTTATTTATAAATCTATAAAGCAGTTCATATATAGCCTATGATAAATTCTCAAGTGTTACTTTTGTGATTAATAGGCCAACTCTGAATACCCATTAATATATTCGGAAATTTGTATTAAAATTTATCATCTTTGAAAAGTTGCCAGCTTTAACAGTGAATGCTTTTGTTTAATTTTAGGGGAAAATTTGCAGTGGTGAGGAAATGTATAAAGAAAGATTCTGGAAAAGAATTTGCAGCAAAGTTCATGAGAAAAAGAAGAAAAGGCCAAGATTGTCGGATGGAGATAATTCATGAGATTGCTGTACTTGAACTAGCACAGGACAGTCCTTGGGTCATTAATTTACATGAAGTATATGAGACTCCATCAGAAATGATCTTGGTTCTGGAATAGTAAGTATTGTCTTTCTTGGGTTGAATTTGATAGTTTATACTTCCACATAAGATGTTGCTTCTCTGTGAGAATGTGCATCGCCTGGTTCTCTGAAAGGATTTTCCAGATGATCTTCATGTATTCCTCATAAATACCTTGGCTGTGCTTACTGTGTCTGCCTCTTCCCAGCTTGTATTAAGTACCTGGCCTGATCTCTCTTTCATGGAGAGAATTGGGCCATCAGACAGACTCCCTTGACATCTTTCCAAAGCCTTCTATGACAGGAAATCATATCAGCACACTTGTGCTATCATTTGTGCAGCATTCCTCACTTTCTAATCAGTTCTGTTCTACTTCATCAATCCATTCATTCATGTGTCCTTGTGCCAGTGACACCATTCACTTCTCAGAATAATGCCATCTGCTCTTTTAAAACTTTCATGAGCTCATCAGCCTCGATTCCCAAAATCAACCTCATTTTAATGTTCTGCTTCTGTCTTTAAATACATGATACAATTCTGTTTTGAAATTGCAACTTCTTTGACTTTTACAGCCTTGTTTTATTTTTGATGTTTTTTTTCATTTTTCTTCTTGCAGAGCGTTTTACCCTGTTCCAGATAGAATAAGTGTACCCCGGAGCTCTGTCAGTGTTATTGTTGTTGGACATTGTTGTTCAATCAGCTTACTTTGGGTGATAATCTTTTGGAATATGTGCTTGCTTTTAGCTATTACTTACATTATGATTATTTTGAAAATTTTCCAACCTTAACCCCTCTCCTAAGTTCCATTTGCCTACTGTATATGCCTGTGACCAGTTGCAGATCATTAATTCAGTGTCAATACACTTGCATTGCCTTTGTAATGCTTGCTTCTCCTTTGTTCCCATTCCATTGGTATCTCCATTTTATCATTGCTCACACTAGAGACCTTGGTCTTGCCCTTGATTTCTTTGTCTCCTTTAGTCTCCTTTAATAATGAATTACCAAGTCTTCTGTTTGAGCTTCTCCAGTAGCTGCTTAGCTGATCACCTTGGCTTCTACTCTAGGACATCCCTCTTTGCTGCTGTTAGCTGATAGGCAATATGCTGATACTATTTCCTTGCTTAGAAGCCTTTGATGACTTCTGTTGCTGTAGTGAACAGATTTTTAAAGTCCAATCAGTATGATTTAGCCAAAATTTTTGTATTTTAATTTGAAAAAAGTCTTTAAAAATGTATTCTGGATACTGAGATATCAAGATTCTCAGCTAGATCAGGAAACTGTTGCTATGGAAGTAAGCAAGCTGTGATCATTTACATCAGTTATTATTGGAGGATCTTCTGTGTGCACTAGATACTAAAGAAGCTGATAGTATAGAAGTGAGAGTAGCATAGCCCCTTCCCTCTAGGTGCTAAAACTTTTAGCAAGCAGATTAAATATAAATGATTGCAGCAATATTAATGTCTTACTAGAATTTCTTGCTAGGTGCTATGTGAACACAGATAAAGTATGATAGCTGCAAAGTGCTAAACATTAACCGTGTGCTAGGCACCATGTCAAGTTCAGTTTGTACACATGGTTTATTAATTGGTATATGCTTTAATATATATGATTTATACATTTTAAAACTAGAGTTTTGTTTTGTTTCTTGTACTAGGGATTGAATCTAGGGCTTCACACATGCCATGCAAGTGCTCTACCACTCAGCTGCATCCTATAAGATTTTTATATATGAAAAAAACCTCAAAGTACTGAGCAATGGAAGATCACACAAGTCCCAGAGCCTGGATTTAGTCCCAAAGTGTGTATCCCAAAGCTTCTGCTCTTTGCCATGTGCTGTGCTGCTGTTCTCTGCCTGGGTAGTTAGGAGCACTGCCCAGAAAACAAGACCTTTAGAGTTTGGAATTGGCCATCATAACCTTGTCAGGATTTTTCAGTTTTTCTTTTGTCTTATGGACGTAACTTTTTTCCTACCATTTCCTTCTAGTCTTTCTCCAACCTCAAATACTGCTTTCTAGGCACACTTTTCCCCAGCATTTAAAGCTGTGATTACACTATCTTCTTCTCCATATTGTTTATAGCAAGCAGTCTGTGTATGATAGTCTTACCTTATATCCCTGTGAACATGAAATTTTACAGATTTTTCTGTTTATCACTGGTTTTTAGTAATTTAAGTATGATGTTCTTTGTGTTGGGAGTTTATCTCACTTAGGGTTCAGTAAGCTACATGGATCTTGGTATTTATGGTTTTTATTGCATTTTTTATTGAGAAATATAAATGAGACAGTTTCACAGCTGATTAATAGGACAGTTTTGATAATCAATACATTGTACATTGTTATCTTCTTAGTGGTTATCCATAGCACAAGAAGCAGACAGGATATTCTGTCAAAACACTGTTAGTACATCTCTTTCTTCTCATTGAATTAAGGGAAAGTAGTTGTAAACCTATCCTATTTTGTATATATAAATACAAAATGATCTTTCCTTTGTATCTTTTTTTTTGTCCTGTCAGAGGTGAATATTCTATTGGCATTTAAATACTATAGGTGTTTGAATTCAACTAAACAATCTAACACTGTCTAGCAGTCTATGATAGTAGTGGGTTATCCTCAGAAGTTATTGACTTGAGCCTTTTACAGCTCATTGTATTAATATAGATTTACTTTATATACCTCGTTTTTATACTTTTCTGCTGGATGGTTAAGCCCAAGATATAGCAAGACCTATATAACAAGAAATGTAACTTTTGTATCTGATAAGGTCAGCCAAGTACTCTCAGGATTTATCCTGTAGCCCTGTACTGCCCTTTTTATATCCTTTTGTCAGTGTCAGACATGAGGATGAGTCATGGCCATTGCATGACCAATTTGCTCTCTGTGAAAGCCTGAGAAAATGTTTTCTCTCTATGTGACTCTCCCCAGGCTCACTTTACATCATCGAACACATTTCTCTGTGGCTCCATAATTATCTTGATCAGAAAATTTGGAGCACAACTGAGTTACATGTTGTTACAGTACAGGTTCTCCTATGTCCGGAGTCTTCATTGACCTTGAAAGGATTGCATTTTAGAAATAGGTGATTATCTTATTTTTTCTGCTTCTGCCTCACTCTTCTCTTCAGTTACAGTGTGTTAAGCTGCTTGATGTTCTCCCGTATATCCCTGAAGTACTGTTGATTTTTGTTCAGTGTTTTTTTCTCTGTCTCTGTACTTCACAGTAGATGATTTCTGTTGCTTTGCCTTAAAACTTACTGCTTCTTAAATATCTAATCATTGTAAAGATCAGTGATTTTCTTAATATTTTAGTTACTGTACTCTGAGAATTCCACATGATACTTTTTTTTTTTGGCGGAACCGGGGATTGAACTCAGGCCCTTGCACTTGCCAGAGAAGGACTTATTCCACTGAGCCATCTCCCCGGCCCCTAATTCTTCCTGTTCTTCTTCCTCTTTCTCCTGCTCCTTTTCTTCCTCTTCTTCTTCATATGTATATACATATATATATATATTTTTTTTTCTTTTAATTAGTTCAGACTGGCCTTGAACTCACTGTATAGCCCAAGCTGTTCTCAAACTTAAGGTGATCTTCCTGCCTCAGCCTCACAGAATGCTGGGATTGCAGGTGCATTACAGGCATGTGCTCCTCCATTTGGTATTTTTCATACCCTCCTCTCTTCCTTGTTTGTGTCTTTTCTCTCATGGTTCCAAGTTAGTTCACTTAGTGAGTGAAGCTTACATTTAAACAGAGTAAACAGTGATGTGACTGCACATGTACTTCAAAGAGTTATTTTACTGACTGCGTAAAGTACCTTTCAAAGCTTCTAACACTCTGCGTTTGAAGTACATCCTTGAAATTTTTCAGAAAACTACAATTAGCTATATATTTTATGTTCATGCAAGCTATAGTTGTTGAGAAAACAAACTGTTGTTAAAATAGGTGTAGAGATGCATGCCTGTAATTCAGCACTCGGGAGGCTGAGGCAGGAGGGTTGCCATAAATTGAAGGCCAACGTAAATTACATAGCAAGACCCTGTCTCCAAAAACAGAGAGAAGATGCAACCTTGGGAGGCTGAGGCAGAGGCAGAGGCAGGGGGACTGCAAGTTTGAGCCTTCTGGCTAACTTAGTAATTTAGTAAGACCCTGTCACAAAGGGAGAGGGTAACAGCTGGGGAAGTAGCTCAGTGCGAAGGCCCTGGGTTCTGTTTAGCTTCCAGTACCCAAATAATACATAAATAAAAAGCCAGAATGGGTAAACATCACAGTGGAATAGACTAAAAATAAATTTCTCTTAAATTTTAGTTCAAGAAATCCTTATATTTAAATTGATTTATTAATCTTTATTGTTCTTTTTCATTTTATGAATGGTAAGTTCATTGTTGTTTTGTTTAATAAAGACATGAATTCTCTTAGAGTTTAGATTTTATATTTGGCCATTTTATTTGTTTTTACTAGTATATGTTTGTATTACATAATAATTACATTCATCATGGGGAGTTGGTACATGTACAAAACTTACCTTCTAGTTACAGCCCCTTCCTCCTCCTCCCCCGCCTCCTGTGCCCCTCCTGAATTTCATTGTTGACAGAAGTAATGACTTGAAGAATTCAAAAGATAGTAAATTGTGATTAGAAAATTTTTTCAGCCAAGTGCAGTTCCTTGTTTGAGCTGAGGAGTTCAGTTGTTAGCATTGCTGCAAATGGCAGCCTGCGTGTGCAGAGGCTGTGTGAGCGGTGCACTGCAGCAGGTGCATCTCCTGCTGTGAGGGACTGAGCCTCCTCTTTCAGGTCATCAGATTGAAATTGGCACCATAGCACTAACAGGCTGTGACTAATTTGCTCTTTATTTTTGTGGTACAAGTTCACCATTTTCTTTTGTGTAATTTCTGTTTGCTCTAATTCGTCTAGTGCTGCTGGGGGTGAAATCTTTGACCAGTGTGTGGCTGACCGAGAAGACGCCTTTAAAGAAAAAGATGTTCAGAGGCTCATGAGACAGATTTTAGAAGGCGTCCACTTTTTACATACTCATGATGTAGTTCATCTTGATCTGAAGGTAAGATCCAAGTTACTTTTCAATTTGAAATTGATATATGTGTGTCTATGTTTATAGCAGCACAATTTGTGATAGCCAAATCTTGGAAACAACCAAGGAATGTTGCCCATCACCTGAGGAATGGATGAAAAAGATGTGGTATTTTTATACAATGGAGTATTACTCAGCTATAAAGAATGATAAACTCAAAACCTTTATATTTAGTAGATGCCACTTGAAGATATACTCATAAGTGAAATAAACCAGACACATGTATAAATATCATATAGTTTCCATAGTATAAGAACTCAAAAGAAGAAATACAAATAAAAAGGTATAAAATAAATAAATAAATAAATAAAAGGAAAGCAAGAACTTGAGGACCAAATAATTAAGAGAGGGAAAGGAGAAGAGCTAGGAAACATGACAGTGGCAAGCCATACAGTTATATGTAGAAAATGGGTAAGGCAGTGATCCTGAGAATTTTCAGAAGATTTTTGAATCTAGCAGTTAATTGGAAGGATTCTTACCCTAACTATATATACTGACACCTGTGAACAAAGCAGCTGCACTGAAGATGGCAATATGTAATAGTAAGTTCATGCTTGGAGTTCCTGTCATTCTGGTCTTCTGAATATGGGCTGCTTGTCATGACATGCCATTTGCTGCCGTGCTGTCTCTCGGGTAGATGATTGTTCAAAAAAAAGGGGGTGGTGAATGAAGGCAAGAGACAGCGAAAGGAATGTTGCAGGACTGTCCTACTACAAGGTTGTATATGATTAGATTTCTGGACTTATGTGTAAACATAAGAATTATATAATTCTGTATGCCTATTTTTAAATATATTTTAATTTTTAAGTGTTTTTTCATCATATTCTGTGGGAACTTAAAGTTTAACATATCAATGCTTGATGAAAAATACCTGTTCCATGTTATGCCTAAGATGTTTGATATTCAGACAGATAGTGAGGTTAAGCTTAACAGCCTAGGTTTTATGGTAATAACAATAAACTTGTCTTTTGGATGGTTAACAACCTAAGTTTGCAGACCAAATATTAGAGAAAAAGGAGGGCCATAAGGAAAGCCAACATTTTGGCCCTAGCCTTTCAAGGTCAATTAAGACTCAGGACATATGAGAACTTGTACTGTAAGACATGTAACTTAGTTGTGTCCCAAATTTTCTGATCAAGGAGATTATGGGGCCAAAGAGGAAAGTGATCGATGATGTAGAGTGTGCCTAAGGAGAGTCACATGGAGAGAAAACATTCTCTCAGGCTTTCACAGAGAGCACATTGGCCAAGCAATGGCCATGACTCATCCACATGGCTGACACTGACAGAGGATCTACAATCTGAGGTACAGGGTCTCAGGATAAATCCTGAGGGGATTTGACTGAGATCCAGAAGCTACAACTCTTATCAGATCCAAAAGCTACAGCCCTTGTTGCATAGGTCTTGCTTTATCTTGGTCTTAACCATCCAGCAGAAAAGTATAAAAACGAAGTATAAGAAGTAAAGCCATGCTGTTATGTTGAGCTGCAGGGGCCTCAGGTCAACAATTTCTGATATTGCCAGTGAAGCGGAAGACCCAATACTATTATGGACTACTGGACTCTTTTTAGAATATTTTGCTGAGTTCACACACCTATAATATTCAAATGATGGAACTGAATAAAAAAGGGGATACAGATGAAATGTCCATTTTGTATCTGTGTATTCAAAATGGTTAGGATAAATATATAGTTACATTCTCCTAATGAATAGAGAGATGTGTTCTAATAGTGTTTGTAAATAGGATATCATGTCAGCATCTTGTACAGCAAATAACCACTAGACAGAGAGTATGCAATGTGTTAATTATTGAAATTGTCCTACCAATTTGATTTGAAACTGTCTCATTGCTATTTGTTTCTCAATAAAATTATGGAGAAAAAAAATTGACACTCCACCAACTTAAAAATGTTTAGCAACAATTTATCCAAATATCAAGTTCATAGGTTTATTAGATAACAAGGATAATAAGACTGTCTTTTAAATTTTATTGGTACATATTTGCAGTTCACACACTTTACAATCATTTTGGTGGTTCCATGTATACACCACAGCTTTTTTTCTTTTCTTTGATTCCCTTTCCCTTCCCTTCCATCTCTCCTTCCCACATGTAGTTCCTTTATCCCGTTTTTTATTCTTGTTGATATTTATAATCTTAGCTCATGCTGTGGCACATAAAATGTACATTTATTGAGGTTATTAGACTTCTGCACATGACAAATCTCTATTCTGCTTATCCCCCACCTTGTACTTTTCTCTCAGATCATTTCCCTATTGCAAGAGATTTATCTCTTTGTCCCCTTCTTTTCATCTTCATTATTCTTTCTTTCTACTTTGTTTCACTCAAATAAGAGACACCATATAGTATTTATATCTGGTTTATTTCATTCACATTATATTTTCCAGGCGCATCCATTTTTCTACAGATGTCTCAAGTGGGTCATTTTTTATAGCCAAGCAGTATTACCTTATCTATAGATACTACTTTTTTTTTTTTTTTGGCGGAACCAGGGATTACACTCAGCCCCTTGCACTTGCCAGGGAAGTGCTTATTCAACTGAGCCATCTCCCCAGCCCCCACCACATTTTCTTGATCCAGTCATCTGTTAATGCTTTCATAGGCTGTTTGCAGGATTTAGGTATGATAAACATTGGTGTGTGTGTATTGCTATTGTATGATGACTTAAGCTCTTGGGGGAAGATACTGGGATCACTGGGTTATAGGGAATTTCTAATTTCAGTTCTTTGAGAAATCTCATACTGATTTTCATGATGGTACTAGTTTACATCCCTGTCAACAATGAAGGGTTCCCTTCTTCACCACAGCTTCATCAGCATTTGTTGCTTGATTTCTTAATATTGCCATTGTTTCTGGAGTAAGGTGGAATCTTAGCATTGCTTTAATTTGCATTCCCCTAATAGCCAGAGATGTCAAGCATTTTTCCAAATATTTGTTGACTATTTGTATTTTGTGAAGTGTCTGTTTGTTTCTTGTGCCTGTTTTTTCTCCGGATCTTTAATATTAGGTGGTTTAATTTTTTTTTCCTGAGTTTTTTGTGTATTCTATATATCAGCCCTCTGTCTGAGAAGTAGTTGGAAAACATATTCTCCCATTCTATAGGTTGTCTCTTCAGTTTACTGATTGATTGCTTTGCTATACAGAGCTTTTTAATTTGATAAAATGCCATTTGTTGATTCTTGCTGTTACTTCTTGTGCAATTCAGGTCCTATATAGAAAATCCTTTTCTACACCTAAGTCTTCAAGTGTTTTGCATATTTTATCTTCCAGTAGGTCTAATGTTTCTGTGTTAATGTTTAACAGCAATCCATTTTGATCCATTTTGATTCTAATTTACTATATGATATAAGAGTCCAGCTAACCAGTTTTCCCAGAACCACTTATTGAATAGGCTTTTTAAAACCTGTTTGTGAGCTATTTGGCCAGCCAGATAGCTCAGCAGATTAAAACCCCTGTTTAGGCAGAGGCAGAGACTGGGTACTATGCCCATCGCGCCCTGCAAGTCCCACCCCCAGGGCACTCTGAGACAGCAATTGAGACTGGGCATGGTGGTACTTGCCTGTAATCCCAGAACTTGCAAGGCTAAAAACAGGAGAGTCACTAGGAGTCCAATCTGTGTAGTGAGACCCTGTAGACCCGGTATTAAATACATTTTTTTTTTAAATTGTTTTTTGAAGGTCAAATTGTTAAATGTGTCTGAGGTTTCTGTATGCTCAGTTCTATTGCCTTGATTGAGCTATCTATTTTTGTTCCAGTACCATGTTGTTTTTTATCACTGTTGCTTTGTAGCATAGCTTGAAGTCAGGTATTGCTATGCTTCTGCTTTGCTGTTATTGCCCACGATTGCTTATGCTATTCAGTATCTCATTTAGAATTGAGTCTTGATTCTTATCCACCAATCAGTTGGTTTTATCAGGGAGATAACATAGGAGTATGTATATAGAAGATGAGTGATAAAACAAATCTCCTCAGTGTAGAGCTCAGAATATTCCTAGTGAACATAGTACTAGAGGTAGGCATTAATAAAAAGTTAGGCCAGTGCTTGGGAGGCTGAAAACAGGAGGATTACTTACGAGTCTGATCTGAGTAGTGAGTCCCTGTAGACCCTGCGCTAAATACATAAAAATAAATAACAATAAAACTAGATATTTTAACTAGTTTCACTGGAATTGAGAGATTATCTTGAGAAAATGCCAGATTTCAGGGCTTTCAGGTGCTATAAGGAGATAGATGGGTTTTTTGTTTGTTTTGTTTTCTGCTTTGTTTTGTTTTGTTTTGGCCGAACTGGGGATTGAACTCAGACCCTTATGCTTGCCAGGGAAGTGCTTATTCTGCTGAGCCATCTCCCCCACCTAACAGATGGTTTTTGAGGAAGAATATTTGAAACAGAGTGTGTTGAAAAATTAGGCAGGCAGGAATAAGTAAATGAGAGACAAGAAACATTTTCTTATTTAGAAATGTCAAAAGAAAAGTGGTAGAGGAGGGAGGGAGGAAAGAAAAAGGACAGCCTATCACTTCTGATCTTTTCAAGTAATCAGAATACCAGCTACAACGAGAATAAACAGAAACAAACATTTTATTGGCAGAAAAGTGCAGAGATAATTCTAGCTTCAGTTACTCTGGTATTCAGTACTCTAAGACTGTTTCCAGTCTTTGCTCAGCTCTGCATTCTGAGAATCGCAGAAAATGAACTGAGGTGGATGCTGCTGTTTAACCCCAGAACCATGCAGACTCAGCTGGAAGGAGCTGGTCTTTGTTCATAGCTGATTTCAGAAGTCCTGAGATTCATGCTAATCAGACCAGCTTGGATCAATGTGGAACTAAGTATCCTGGGGGGCATGGGGTTTCGACTGGCCTGACCCATGTGATTGTCAAGCCAGTTCTGTTTCTGTAGGATAGCAAATGGATAGTAGGACGCAAACGGTAGATACTATGGGTGAATATTCTGGGAT